TGAGACTGTGAATTCCTACCTGGGAGGTTTAACTCACGACTTTTCCCACCCTGATCCCGGAGCCCCCACTCACCCGCACCGCTTGGCCGCCCTGGCAAACCGGAAGTCCTTAAATTACCCTTTTTAATGTATAGGTCTATGAGTTTTGACAGACACATGAACAATTGTGTGCCATCAAGATGATTTTGACTCATGGCGATCCTACATGTTGCAGATTAGAGCCGTGCTCATAGAGATTTCAAGGCTATGCTCTTCCACAAACAGATCACCAAGTTTTCCTTCCAAGGCACCTCTTGGGTATTTCAAACCACCAACCTTTGCGCACTTAATGATTTTTGCTACCTAGGTACTCCTAACAAACACAGAATCATGTAACCACCAGTACAGTCAATATACAAAACAGTTATGTCACCCCTAAATTCTCCTTGTATCCTTTTTGTAGTTATCCCCGTTTTTCATCTACAACCCCTAATTTTTTTCTCTTTTATTGTGTTTTATAAATGAAATCATCTAGTATATATAGTTTCAAATCTGTCTCCTTTCATTGAGCATTTTTAAATGATTTTTGGTTTATGATTATGCTTCAAGAGTTCTTTAATCAAATTGAAAAAAATATTATTCATGTGTATTTTCCCCTTAGAATTTCATGAGCTAAGCCTTTACATTTATTTTAATATCAATTGTGAGGAGAAGAACTTAATTTCTCTTCAATTAAGCAGCCGTCTCGGTTATCTATATTAAGATTCAGTTTCTTATATAATGCTTTTACTAAATAATGGTTTCTTCACAGGTAACACAAGTAGCAAGACAGCCAGGACCCCCGACCCCTTCCCCTTACTCAGCACATGAAATAAACAAGGGACATCCAAATCTTGCAGCAACGCCCCCGGGACATGCTTCGTCCCCTGGACTCTCTCAGGTATGAAAACCTATTTTTCCAAAAATTTCCATGTAAAAGCAGCCTTTCTGATTTTCTCTTTTTAAAAAGCAGTCTTACAATTTACAGCTTTATTTGAATAATTTCTACTTTGCCATATATTTGCATCTTTTTATACATACTTGCCTTGCTGTAATGGTGGTGGTGGTTGTGTACTGTCAAGTTGGTTCCAACTCACAGGGGTTTCCAGAGCAGCTGGTGCGTTTCAACTGCTGACCTTGAGATTATCAGTCTAGTGCATCACACGAGGACCCTCTGCAGATAAAACAATTTTATTCATTTCATTATTGGAATCATTAAACATTAATTACCAGTAATACTTAGTGTACCTTTTTATTTTTAAGAAATTAAAGAGTATGAGTCTAAAGTTCTTTAAAAAAATAAAAGGCTGATTTGTTTTTCAACAGTTAATTGGCTATAGTCTTCCCCCTCCTTTATTGATGGGTTGGTGGTAGTTATTTCTACTTTTGTAAAAAATGTGTTTTCACTTCTTGAGTAATTCTGTTGGGTTTTCTTTTATTTTTGGTGGTGGTGGTTGGTTCAACTTTTGATTTTGTAAATACATTATTGTTTTTTTTTTTTTTCCTATTAGGTACAGCAAACATTGTAACACTTTTAAAAGATGTTGTTCTGTATCCATGACATTTTAAACTGTTTGCTAAGATTTTGTTTGGCTTGCACCAACTCACTGTCACATGTTTTTATGTTTCTTCTTGTGGTTAAGTACTAGCTAGGATTAAGTCCTTATTAGAATGTTAAAGGAGTTCTGGTGGTACAGTGAGTAAAGAGCTCAGCTACTAAGCAACAGGTCCGTGGCTCCAAAAGAGAAAGGCATAGCAGTCTGCTTCTCTAAAGATTGACAGCCTTGGAAAACATGTATGAGACAGTTTGCGTTGCTAGGAGTCAGAATTGTCTCAGCAGCCATGGATATTAAAATGTTCAGAGAGTCAAGCCAATAACCTTGACCTAGATGTTTAATATAGTTAGTATTTATATATATATAAGATCTATTATTTTTGATAATACTGATTTCATAGTATTATAAAGCTTTGAACATAGGTTAGCAAAACAAAACAAAAAAAACCGAGCAACCCAAATCGGTTGCCATTGATTCAGTTCAACTCCTGGTGATGTCACGTATTTCAAAGTAGAGTTGTGCTCCATGTGGTTTTCATAGTGTTAACCTTTTAGAAGTAGATTGACAGGGCTTTCTTTCAAGGTACTTCTGGGTGGATTTGAACCCTCCAACCTTCTGATTAGCAGCAGCCAAGCACTTAACAATTTATGCCACTGAGAGACTATTAATTATAGGTTAAACCAAAAAATCATGTTTCCCATCTAGTCAATTGCAATTCATGGTAACTCCATGAAGTTGTTGTTATGTGCCATTGAGTCGGTTCCAACTCATAGTGACCCTGTGCACAGCAGAATGAAGCACTGCCCGGTCCTGCATCAACCTCACCGTACTTCCTATGATTGAGCCCCTTGCTAATGCTACTGTGCTCATCCATCTCATTGGAGGTCTTTTCTGGTTCCAATTCATAGTAACCCTATATGCACAACAGAATGAAACACTGCCAGGTCCTACAGTAATTCTTACAATTCTTCCTGTGATTGAGCCCATTGCTAATGCCACTGTGCTAATCCATCTCATTGGAGGTCTTCCTCTTTTTCTCTGATCCTCCACTTTACTAAGCATCATGTCCTTTTCTCTCAGGGCACTGGTCCCTCCTGTTAATATGTCTGAAATATGAGAGGTGAAGTCTCACCATCTTTGCTTCTAAGGAATATTCTAGATTTACTTCTTCCAATACAGATTTATTTGTTATTCCGGCCGTCCATGGTACTTTTAATATTCTTCTCCAGTACTGGTAGCGTAGTGGTTACGAATCGGGCTGCGAACCTTAAGGTCAGCGGTTCGAAACTACCAGCTGCTCCGCGGGAGAAAGATGAGGCTTTCTACTCCCATAAAGATTTACACCCTCGGAAACCCTATACAGGGTCGCTATGGGTCAGAACCGACTCGATGGCACATAACAACAACAACCATAACTCAAATGCTTCAATTCTTCTATGGTCTTCCTTACACGTTGTCCAACTTTCACATGCATATGAGGCTATAGGAAATACTATGGCTTGGATCAGGCTTACCTTAGTCCTCAAACTGACATCTTTGCTCTTGAACACTTTAAAGAGGTCTTGTATAGTAGATTTGCCCAGTGCCATACATCTTTTGATTTCTTGACTGCTGCTTCCATGAGTGTTGGTAGTGGGTCCAAGAAAAATGAAATAATTTGACAACTTCAATTTTTTTCTCCATTTTTGATGCTATTTATTGGTCCAGTTGTGAGGATTTTTGTTTTCTTGACATTGAAGATTAATTTTAGTCTTCTTCAGTATTTTAAGTCCTCTTCACTTCTAACAAGCAACACTGTGTCATCTGCACATCACACGTTACTGGTGAGTCTTCTTCCAATATTGATGCCACGTTCTTCATGATACAATACAGCTTCTTGTGTCATTTGCTCAGCATACAGATTGAATTAGCATGGTGAAAAAATACAACCAAGTAAGCATCTTTCGTGATTTTAAGTCATTCCATGTCCCCTTGTTCTTTTTGAACAACTGTCTCTTGATCTATGTGCAGGTTCCTCACAAGCACAATTAATTGGTCTGGAATACCCATCCTTCGTGCTGTTCATAGGTTTTCATGATCCACACAGTCAAAAGCCTTTGCATAGTCAGTAAAGCACAGGTAAATATCTTTTGGGTATTCTCTGCTTTCAGTCAAGATCCATCTGATATCAGAGATAATACCCCTTGTTCCACATCCTTGTCTAAATCCAGTTTGAACCTCTGGCAGTTCTCTGTCAATGTACTGTTGTAACCGTTTTTGAATTATCTTAAACAAAATTTTATTTGCATGATGTTGTTCAATGATTTCTGCATTCTGCTGGGTCACCTCTCTTTGGAATGGGCACAAATATGGATCTCTTCCAATCAGTTGGCCAGGTAACTGTGTTTCAAATTTCTTGGCATATGGGTGAGTACCTCCAGTGATGCGTCAGCTTGCTGAAAGATTTCAATTTGTATTCTATCAATTCCTGGAGCTTGGTTCTTTGCCAGTGTCTTCAGTGCACCTTGGATTTCTTCCTTTAGTATCATTGGCTCTTTTTATTTTGGCTGTTTTCTTAAGCTGCCTTTTGAAATGGTGGTTGAATGCTGACAATCTCTTTTTGGTACAGTGACTTTATGTAATCCCTCCATCATCTTTTGATGTTTTCTGAATCTTCAAAATCTTGCCCATAGAACCCTTCAGTATTTCAAGTTGAGGTTTGAATTTTTCCTTCAGTTTTTTTAGCTTAAGAAATGTTGAGCGGGTTCTTCTTTTTTGGTTTTCTATCTCCAGGTCTTTGCACATTTCATTATAATACTTGACTTTGTCTTCTCAACCTGCCCTTTGTGATTTTCTGTTCAGCTCTTTTACTTAATCATTTATTCCATTTGATTTAGTATCTTTTTATTCAGGAGAGCAAGTTTCAGAGTCTCTTTTGATAACCACTTGGGTCTTTTCCTTCGTTCTTGTCTTCTTAATGACTTTTTGCTCTCTTTCTGTATGATGTTCTTAATGTCATCCCACAGCTCTTTTGGTCTTTAGTCATTAGTATGTGATGCATAAAATAAGTACTTGAGATGTTTACTAAATTTAGGTGGGATATGTTCAAGGTCCTATATTGGCCCTGATGGACTTGTTTTAATTTTCTTCAGCTTCAGCCTGAACTTGCATTTGAGCAATTGATGGACTGTTCCATAGTCTGCCCCTGGGGTACTTTTGGCTGATGATATGGAACTTTTCTATTGTCTGTTTCCACAGATGTAGTCAGTTTGATTTCCGTGTATTCCATCTGGTGAGGTCCAGGTGTATAGTCATCTTTTACGTTGTTTAAAAATAGTATTTGCAATAAATAAGTCACTGATCTTGCAAAATCCTGCTGTAGGATCTTGAGCATCATTTCTATCACCAAGACCATAGTTTCCTCTTTGTTTCTAGCCTTCTTGTTCCAATCACCAGTAATTATCAGTACATCTTGATTGCATATTTAATCAATTTATGACTAAAGAAGTTGGTAGTTGTTGTTGGTGTTAAGTGCTATCAAGTTGATTCCGACCCAGAGCGACCCTGTATAGGGTTTCCAAGGAGTAGCTGGTGAGTTTAAACCACCGACCTTACAGTTCAAATGACTTTGCAATCTTGCACAGTGCCACACCAGGACTCCAAAGAAGTTGGTAGAATTCTTCAAATTCATCATCACCAAAATAGTGGTATAAACTCGTCTTCCCTGTAGGTGTATAGATATTATCCTATCACAGACAGCATTATACTTCAAGATAGATCTTGAAGTGTTCCTTTTGATAATGAATGTGACACCATTCCTTTTCAATATGTTGTTCTTGGCGTAGTAAACCATACGAATTTCAGATTCAAAATGACCAATACAAAGTCCATTTCAGCTCACTAGTGTCTAGGACATTGATCTTTCTGCATTCCATTTCCATAATAGTTTGTACTGCAGAATACACAGTTTGCCAAATTACTATAGAAATAGTTCTTTTAAGGGACATAAATTTGTCGTGGATTTAAACTTGCTTAAACTTGATCTGAATGATTCCTATTATATTTTGAGTTTCAGAAGTTTGACAAAGTGAATTCTTAATTGTTTAAATGAGATTCTTACACTGTTTTTCATGGCACTTAACAGAAACTTTTCAGTCTATTAATTAAGGGTACTTGTCTGAATATAACAGGTGAAAAAAATCTAGGCAGTAATTTAAGTACTGTTGTATGAGGGTGAGTCAAAAATTATCTGCATTCTGGCTATGTTGTTGTTGTTGTTAAGTGCCGTCGAGTCGGTTCTGACCCATAGCGACCCTGTACAGGGTTTCCGAGGGTGTAAATCTTTACGGGAGTAGAAAGCCTCATC